ACAGCGACTCCTTCTGCTGCTGCCACTGAGAAGTGAGTAGCTAGCTGCGCTGCGCAGGAGACTCCTCAGCGCCAGACTCAGGTCAGTCCCCTTTGTGTTGACTCAGGAAAGAGCCAGAGCAGCCATTTCTGGATGCAGAGAGGGAAGAGTTCCAGAGCCCTGCGCAAGGAGAGCCCTGTGCAGCGTAGGAGAACTGGAGTTCTTCCCTCCCTGCACCCAGCCACCTGCTGCTGCTGCCCCCCATTCTTCTCCTTCCTGAACCAACACGAAGGATACCACGGCTCGCGCTGACCTGAGTCTGGCGCTGAGGAGTCTCCTGCACTGCATACCCAGTTACTCACCTCATAGCGCAATGGCGACAACGGGAGGAGAGTCGTTGTCCCCTCTGCCTTGATCCTGCCCCAGGAGGGTATTTTGCTTGCGTGCAGGCACGCAAGGGATGAGCACAAGAAAAGGGCTGGAGCTCTTCCCGACACTGAGTTGCCTGCGAAGGATGCGGAATCGCAAAAGCAGGCGAGAGGCTCGTGCCTTCTCGGGGCGGAGAGGAGATTGTGCGATTGGGTCAGCAGGGAGCCGTAGGAGAGGGGCCAAAGCCTATTGAGACTGTTACCCATGCTAAGCACTGTTACCCATCTCAGCGTACACGCATCCCACATTCCTCTATTTTATTTTCCACACCTCGTTTTATGCGTCAGAAATGGTACCTCTTGGCTTCTGTAGCTCTGCCCATCAACCTCCATCACTCAGAGAGAGCTGCTTTGCAGTGTCCTCTGTGCTGCGCGTGTCTCTCTTTTCCCCCTCCTCGTCTCCATTCCGACTCCTACTTCCTCCCCACACACCCCTCTTCTTCCGCGGGGAACCCGAGCCGCTCCTTCCCTTCGAACTGGCTTCTTGCCAGCCTCTCTGTGGGAGGCTTCCCAGCGACCCCTGTGAAAAGGTTGTTCGACCCCATAAGGGGTCGCAACCCATAGGTTGAGAACCGCTACTCTAGGCTAAAAGACAATTTCCAAATTCGGTGCTCAAACTAAATTGGAACTTGAGGAGATGACGCAGGATGACTTTTTCAACCTGATCAAGCTTTTATAGGCAATATAGATCTGCTCCCAAAAGTCACATAGAAAAACACAGTTTTCTTACACAGTTTTTACTATTACCATTCATTTATCTGTCTTGAGAAAATGACAGAGATCCAAGCAAGCTACTTCTTGGCTCAGGATCAAATCCTCACATATGGATGCACAGGTATAAGTAAATTGGTTGCATTTGAGATGAAGGTGCTCTTGAGGCATGTCTTCAGTCAGTATATAGTTCAGTTTTGCTGTCTATGGAAATTCTCAATTGTCCAGGTCCCAAAGATGCTTCTTCCAAAAGGCAACAGGACTTTCTTGGTTAAGCTTCTTCAGTTCTAATTACTACTCAGTTTTGCTATTCAAAATGTCCAGCCATTTCTATGACTCAAACCTAACCCTAACCCATTGCTATTCCATCTTTAAAAACCTTAGCAACTGAACATTAGCATGCAAATGCTATTGTGAATAATTAGTACCAACACATTTAGCAGCCTTTTAATTACAATGTCCATTAAAAGATACTGAGCTTCTCTACACATAAGTTCATTTTGTTTGCATTGCTTTTCTGCACAGACACAGGTTGCAATGAATTACCTAGGGTCTAATTTTGCAAAAGCAGTTTATAAAAAATCACTACCAAATGCCCAGTTTATTTATAAAAATTGTTTATATAGCTCCCCAGTAATCAAAAGGAGCACTCTGGGCAGCTTACAGATCCACTTGATCAGTAAGATTAAAACACGATACAAAAATATAACAACAAAATATCAAACCTTAAACCCAAAACGGCTTTGCATTCAGAAGAATTAGATGGTAGGGGAAATATTGTTCCAAAGAAGGGGAGCAGCAATAGAAGTAGCTTGACTCTGGCATGTCAGGAGATGGTATTCCTCAAGGGATGGGATCCAGAGAGCTCAGTCTTCAAGAAACAGCTGGAAGTAGTCAATCCTGCATATATTCATGAAGGACTTTAAAAGTGACAGCCAGCACCTTGAATTGCATCCAGAAGGAGATTGGTAAGAAGTGCTGCTCTCAGAGTGCTATACAGTCAACTCACAATATATTCATATCTACTCAAGTCACTGCATTCCAGTCACTAGCTGGAATTTCTGAGTGAACGCCAAAGGCAACCTAATGTTGCAGTAATATCAGTGGGAGGTGACAAACACCTGAGCCAATGTTGCCTTCTCAGAGATGTACCCACCTGGGATTTGGTTCCACCAGCAGCTTCTTACCTCCCCTCCACTTATCTGAAACATTCAGTCATGAAGAACACTTGCAACACTGTATCTCCCCCTTCTTGTTGACAATTAAAACAGACACTGTAGTAAAAGTCATCAAGGGATCAAACAGGCCAGGACTTACACCTCCCCATCTGCAATAGTGATTGATGTGGATTTCCTCTAGAGTTCTCTGCAAATGCTGCCATACAACCCTCTCAACAAGTCTTCCCAGTAAGGGAATGTCACTGATACACCTAATAGGCTGAGAGTTAACTAACTTTGCTTGGCCAAGCAATTTGTCAGGGTTTCAAGTAACACCCCCAACGAAAGAAAACTCCGAGGCTTGAAGTTCCTCAAAATTCCATTTTATTAGAGATGGCATATTGGCACATCTGGGAAAACCCGAATCTGAAAGCTTCCAGGTTTTTGCCCACCCAAATGAAAGTCCAAGTCAGGTCCATCATGTGACCCAATCAGGCAAAATCCCAACTGGAGATGCTTCCCAGTCATACCCCTCCAGGTGCAAGGCAAGATGTCCTTGACTCTCCCGAGAAAGGAATGCTATTTTGACTATATATCTCCCATACTCCATATAACCCCACTCCTATTTTCCCATAGCATTGAATGTGACAGGCCAGAATACAAAAGATGGCTTCCAGGCCTGACACAATAATTTCTTGAAGAAGGATTGCACTACTGCCTCTTTCAAGGCAGGTGGCACCATCTTCCCCTTCAAGGAAGGATTCAGTATTGCTTGCACATGGCCAGATTCCTTCTTGAAGGCTTTCATTAACCAAGAAAGGCAGGTATCTAAGATACAGTATTAACAGAAAATCGAAGCTGGGTTCAAACGTCATGTTTTGTCCATGGCTTATAGAATAAGGAATAGTGATCTGGTTCACTTAGAATATAAAAGAATAGAATATAAAGACTTTGGTTTACAAGTCAACAGGCTCCCAATCATACTATACCATTTGAACAAAGATGCTGCTTTTAATATTACGAAAACCAGCCTTGTAGATTCAGTCTACTAAACTTCAATTGGTTCTCCTATCCTTTCTAAACTTCTGACATATTGCAATCAAAAGTTCTTTTAGGAACGAAACTACAAATTTTTAGTTGGGTGGGTGTAGAGAACTGAACTGGCTGTAATTTGTGAAATCAAACTTAGCTTCTCTTGTTCCCTCTCACGCACATTTTAGCAATGTGATTGTAGCATATTTCACACTCCTCTGGGAGACAAATGTAGGCCAAAAGCTTTAGGAAGGAATCTCTAGAAAGGAACATAGTTTCTTAGTTCTGACTGTCAGAGGGACAAAGAAAATAATATATATATATATTTAAAAATGTATAAATGGTTTTGCATTATTTTATTATTTATGCTGACAATGCAGCCAAAGGACGCTTGGTTTAGTAAGCAGGAGCCAAATGTGAAGAACTTACTCACATACTCTATATGGGACATTGCAATTATCTGTACATAAAGCAGCTGGAAAAATCATTATTCTAGCTAGGCCTATGGTCAAACTAAATATACATATGCTAAACAAATCCTCTGTATTGTAAGCAAAAGTAATTTCATATTAGCAAGTTTCGCAATATCTCACATCCCTACAATCTATCTTACAAAGATATTTCGGGTCCAGTTTTCTTGCCCTTGGCAACTACTTCACATATCTCCATCTCCGAAGTTTTTTTTGTTTGTTTCCTCCATTTCTTGGATCTGTATATTTATATCGTCTCTTTATGCACAATGTTTCCACACTCCTTTCAAATGTTTTTTTTGTCTCATTTTCCGACTGCCTGCAAATGTCCCGTAACTAATATGCTTGTTCTGAGCAGAATAAATGAACGTCATAAAGTAGTGGGCTCAAAATCTGATACAATCATTGAAGGTTTGAGATTAATGTAACTGATCAAACAAGCCTGGTATATACTATTGAGAATATTTTTAAACTCAGCAATTTGGTGTTGGCCCAACTTGCCAGAAAGAACATGAAATTTCTGAATGTGGCAACAGAGAGACAGATGCAAAAGGAGATCTCCAGTCTCTTATGTGATGTCATGGAGACCCTCAGGTTCATTGCTTTGTAACAAAGATAGAATTTGCTTGTTTGGCTTTACCTTTCTAGCCATATCTGATGGTCATCTTTGCCTTCCCCACCACTAGGAAATCCTTCCCTCCCTCCCTCTCTCTCTCTCTCTCTCACACACACACACATACAAACACCAGCATCTTCATTGAAAGGCATGCATTAGTACTATAGAAAAACCAGGTTGCATTTACATAATAAATATCCTTTTACAAATAAAATACATACAATAAAGATCTCAGAAGATACTTATTTTTTGGCTTGGCACTATAGACCATGGTTCCTCAAACTACAGCCCGGGGCCCACATACAGCCTGCCAAAGCTATTAATCCAGCATGCACAGGACCACAAGGCTGCCCCACTCACATTGCTCTGGCCACCCTTTGGCCCCAGGAGGCCAAAAATGGGTGAAAACACCTGTTTTGGGCCCAAAATGGCCCATTTTCACTCATTTCTTGTCTGCAGAATGCTTCTGCAGGTGGGGGAATTGAAAAATGGGGTGGACAGATACCCCAGGAGGCCAAATAATGGGCAAAAAGGGCCCATTGTTGCAAAAAAACAGGCCATTTCCACCCATTTTTTTGCCTGCAGAATGCTTCTGGAGGTGGGGGNAACAGGATATGTTTAATCAGTTCCTGCCTCTAAAGGCAATGCAAGGAGAATGCAAGATCTTTTTTGGCTGGTTTCTACACTGACACCTGCAAGTCAGTGTGGCCTCTCCTCAAGACTTCTCCTGAGGTGCCCTGAGTTTAAGAGTAGCTTGTCATGGCAAACGGTCGGGTTGGAAGTTGCGTTCAGGAGGGTTGTTCATTGAGAGGGTGCTGGATCCATGTCTTTCTGGATTGGTCCAATGCATTCTATGAAGTGCCCAAAGCAGAGGACTGCGAAAAAAAAGGGGGGGAAATGTCCTCTGATTGTGAAATCAATGCCTGAGTATAACCAGGGTTGCTCTGGCTGCAGGATTTGGCCATAACATCGCAGATTGTTGCATATGCAATTAAACAAGATCAAAGCGACAACACTCCTGGAAGGAGCTTGCTGGCCTGTTTCGCATGGAACAATGCAAATGTGTTCACTCTTGGTTGCTGCTATTTGGCAAAAACGAAAAGCCATTTCCCTTTCTTTTAATTAAGACTCCTTTCAATGTGCAATAGAAGAGGTGGGAGAGGGGCAAGGCCACGCATGCCCCGGCAGTCAGCTGCCCAAAGCAGGAACAGCAGTGCCTGTTCTCACAAGCCAGCGCCTATAGCTGCCTCAGAATATTCAGATTGTACTATGCTATATTATAGCTAAACTGTTCTACACTTTATTCCTTTGAATAAAACCTTTGCTATTTCCATATCATATATTAGAAAAATATCATTTTCCCAGCTAATTACAAGCCTTGTACACAAGACATGCCTTTTAAAAGAAGATAAAAACCTCACAAAATTAAGGTTATCACTTTGCCCTGCTGTATTTTACAACTCAGAAATCAAAAAGTGGGTTTGATACAGGTTTTGCAATGCATGCAGGCTTTGTACACTACCAAGTTATATTGAAATTCACTGGCTTGTCGGTGTCGGGATGCCTAGTGATTTCAGCAGGGCCCACCTTGAGGGCTACGAAAATATTTGACCTAGTATCGGCAAGATGACAAGAAGGGCCTGGGATTCGTCCAGTTTTGAACTATTCACCCTGGTTCTCTGCAGATGCCAAATATGCTGGTTCAGTGCATTTGAGAATGAAGAACAGGGTGGCCTTATGCCAACTGCAGGTTGATCCTATTGTCTGCACAGCAGATAGCTGGGGATGGGGTGGGGAAGGGATGTTGGTTTAGGCCAATGAACCCTACAAACACCCTGATGCAACTTTGCCCGGTTACTTTTTCTTCCTATCTGTGCATTATGTCACTGAACTGAGAACAGAGGAAATAGTAACATTGACCCAACATCACTAGGAATTAATTACGTTCACAGTATAATTACTGTGCAGATCCAGGAACTTGAGAAATGGCTGCCTGGATGGGGAAACTGTTCTCAGTCAATTTCACCTAAGAACAAAGGCATGCAGGTTAGTAAAGAAAAGGAGGAGGGGACAGCTAGAGCACGCATTGGTACTAAAAACATGAGTAAATGCTTCTTTTAACTCTCCCCTCCCCGTTTCTGCAATGTCTCTGGGTTCATGATTGGGACAGTATGTGTCAATTCTTCTTAGGCTTTTCTTTAAAGGAAAAAGAGAGAGAGAGAAATAAATGCACTTCCGTTGAAAGAAACTGAATGATTTTTTAAAAAGCCATGTTCTTACCTATATCTAAGTGATTGTCAAGTGCTATAGCGGCGGTGCCCTCTGGCTCTATTAAATCCATACCCAACCAATCTAGGTGCAGGCAGTCCTATGTCCTACTCCATGATAGAAAATGTTCAAAGCACCCTCATTGGTTCAAAGGCCTTCAAGGCAAAGACACTGGCCAATGAAATGCCTTGCAATTGAGGCTTCCCTATATTTCTGGATTAGTTTGGAAAGCATAAAATCTTCGATTAATTCCAGACACACTCCCACCCTGGATTCCAAAAAGTGGGGGATGGAGGAGGATTCATTCCCTTATCTTTAGCATACTGACCTGTAGACAAAGTTTAAAAGCATCATTCCCACTTTTTCTGTTCAAGGTACACAAGTGCATGTCAATCTCAAAACATGCAAACTCCCCCTTTGCCTCAGATAGGAACACCACAGCATAAAGACTGCTTTCATCGGGAAGAACATCAATGCAAAGCTAATTTTTCCACTGTTATTTGGAAGAGAAAGGCGATGTTGGCTGGGGAAAGAGGAAGAGGAGAAACCTATTTATAAATATTTCACTTTGTGTATAAAATTGGTCTGAAATCACAGGAGTTCTCAGATTCTCACATATAATACAGATAATACTAAGGCTCATTTCCCACATTTTAGCTGACTCCTGAAAAATCAGAAAATCCCAGAAGACCACCCAAAAACCATGATGGGACTTTTCAGGAACTGTAGGTTGTGCAATTGGTGGCCCTACATTACCATGGTGCACAATTATTACCCACAAACATCTTTTGTATACACAAGAATCCATACCCTCAAACTGGCTGCAAGGTGCTCACAATCCAAAGTGGGATTTCACTCCATTGTTATATACTCTCACGGGTGTGTCAAGCTTGCTAAATATAGGTAACCCCCGTGAGATGTTGCAAATTCTGTCCCAGTCAACCGTTCCCATCTCAAAATGCTTTCCTTGCAGGAGGGAAGGAATAATCACACAGAAGACCTTCTGCTAGATGACAGATCAATAATACAAACGTCTATGTGGTACATTAGTCTGTTAGAACTCCAGGAGCAATCAATGCATAGCAGCCAAGTGGGAGGGAAAGAGAAGGAGCCGTCTGGTTCCTAGATTCCAACAGGCTCCCAAGGCCGGCTCAGATGGGCGCAAACCGAGAATGCTCCAGACCAAGAAGGGGAAGAAAACTGGCCTTCACCGGCTTGGAGTGCTGTCATCCAGCTGCTTTGTGTTTCCCACCACAGCACCTGCACATCACCCCACAGTGGTAGCAAGCCCGGAGGGGCAAGTAACAGCACATACAAGGGGCCAGAAAGGACAAGGCGATTAGGGCCAACCACCGGAGGCAAAACTTTTCATCGCTGGTATCGCAGGAGCAAGGGTCTGTATAGTCTCCTTCTGGATCAGACATGCAGTGGTAGAGCATACTGTCTGCACACCACATGCAGCTGACTCGGCGGATACAGCTTTGGACTCGGTCTGGAGCATCCTGGCACTGACCCCGCCTGTTTTCCTCGCGGTTGAAGATGTCCCTACAATAGACACACCGTGACCTTTCCCCGTCTTCTTTTCGCCGCCGCTGTTTACACCTGACTGGCTGAGTTTTAATCACGGCACCCTTAATGTCATCCCCTCGATCAAAGTCAGTGTTACTGACATAAGGGTAATTGTAGTCATGCTTCGAGGCCTCCGTTTTGGCAAACCGCACATAGGAGTCCCCATCATCGGGATCAATGTACTTCCCCCGCACAGGGGTATGACGGTAGTCCTCATAACCTGTCACCCAGTTCTTTTCCCTTGGATTAATCCGTACAATCTCTTCGTCATCATCGGGGAAGCTGACGTGGCGGCACGATCGTAAGATTGACTATAGGAGAGAAGGGGGGGGGGGAAGAGATTTGAGAAAGCACAATTTTTTTAAGCCAGCAGGCGAGTATGACATTTAGCAGTAGATTTATCAGAGATACCAGCACAGACAATGATACAAGTAAATGCAAAGGCTAAAAATATTATATGTACAGTAAAAGCCAACACTGCAAATTATTGTGGCACACAAAACTATAATTCCCATAGAAAGGCACCCTTCCTCAACTGATACTCTCTAGAGTAGGGAAGGACACCAAAAAGGGTGCCTTGAAGCTTCCTCTCCACAGCAGGATGCAAGCTGGGGTTTTGGAGTATACAGTAAGTCCCACAGTCACTTATTATGGCCTTAAATGAAGCCCCAAGTACCCCAAGATTGACTATTCCTTCTGAATTTAGAAAGCTAAGCTACTGTATATAACCAATCAGGACTGTAGCATTTGGAGAGAATACCAATGCATTTTCAGTTACAGTCAAAATGTACAATGCTGTTTTTTATATACATATTGAGCAGCTGTAAGAAACAGCTGGTCTCAAAGATAACCTCTTTTAAAATAGGTTAAATTTTAATTAAATTTAAAATTAAAACAATATTTTTAAATAGGAAATTTTAAATAGGCAACACACCAAGCCTAATAAATCTTCTGCTATTTCTAGTCATGACTTGGAAGACAATAGTGGTAGAGCTCATATCACAGATCTCTATCAAAGAGCTCCTGCTTTCACACTAGCAGATATTCACTTTGGCTTTCTGGCCAAGCGAGTATGAAGAAAAATCAGCATGCTGGAGCAGCAAGGAAAGAATCTAAAGAAAGGCTCACTTGTTCTAGATGGTAAAGCTCAGGGCTAAACTGGTCATGAAAGTGGCCACGGGTGCAAATTCGGTGATGCTCAAAGGATGGAGAAGATGCTAGTGTTCGTAAAGGCTGCTCTCTTTTCTGAGAAGAATTAGAAGAACTGTCAGTGGCATTCTGTAAAAAACAAACAAATGGGACAATATTAACTAAATTGTGAATACAATCTTTCTGCAGATTTGGGTCACAATACACACCTCCCTCCCTAAAAAAAAAGCAGCTAGATTTTAAATTGACCAACTTTTCCAAAATCACGGTTGGTTATGTCAAACACTAAAACCCAGGAAAACAAATCACAATTTTGTATCCATATACAATGTTATATCTGAAGCAGGATGAACCACAGCTTAGTCATTATTTTTAATAAAATAGTGTTGTTTTATGAACCCAGGTGGTTTACAAACCAATATAAACAATTTCGGTGGCAAAAAGCTAGTTGAATAATCAGTCTAATCTACATAGAGGGATTTAACATTGTTTAAACCTCTTATTTCATGAAAATTAAGGAGGCATCGGGAACACTGCACTGTTGTATGTCAAAATACTACAAAACGTTGCCCCTTGCTACTGGCTATTATTGGCAGAGACCACTATGTAGTGACTGCATAGCTGAAAGTCTGTGGGTCTTAAAATGTTAACGTTAAGAAGCAGAAATGTACCCAATCTATTTAAGTTGCTGTTATACAAATTACAGCCATAACATCAAGTTTCTACCCACACACCTGCCTCCTGTTTGACAAATTCAAAGAGATCTCTGTATACTACAATTCAGAGAAAAATAACAAGGAGTAACACTTATTTATTTATCTTTATTTATTCATCACATTTCTATACCGCCGATCTCACCTAAGTACCCTTGCATTTGCATTTCAAGTCACTCTTAAATTTCTCAGGCTAATTTTTCTGCCTTTCAATCACTAGGAAAATTTGAGACAATTTTTAGCAAATTTGTACTACACACTCAACGAAGAAACAGGAATTATTTATTTTCAACCAATGTGCAATTTGAAAAAAAAATGTACAGTGAGAATTCTCAAGTCACAAAGTGGTGTGATACACTGAAATACCCAGAGCCAGAAACCACATGTCAATATTCTGACTTGGGACTATGCAAAGGACTCCTTTAGAGATGCTGGAAACTGCATATAAACACACACACACACGAACGAAAATGGGATTTTATCTCCTTTATAAACAATGTGTACATCTGAAATGAGAAAGAATTAAAAACATGTTTAAAAACCTTATCTGATGCCCAGAATATGCTTTCACTACTCATATACAGTTTTGGCCCTCCAGACAGGCTTTTAACAAATTCGCCTGGGGCCCTGTGATCCTAACTTGCAAAACTGGGCTGACATCTGTTGCACAAATGTTAGATCGTCATGCTAGTTACCTTCCAGGTAAACCAACATTCTGGCCTGTATCCAAACAGAAAATGAATTGTTTGGATCAACTTCATCTAGGTCTACTTAGTACATCACCACCTCTTGATGCTGAGCATTGTTAAGACAACCCAATTCTTATGAAACAACCTAAAGTATTTTACAGATAGATTAAATGGCTGCTTAACTTCTGTTTCTTCCCAAAGAAGAAACTTTAGATCAATAAAAGTAACTATGCTTTTATACAAAGCTTGGCATATTTTGAAAGAATATTTTCAAACTTTTAGCGGCATCAGCTGTTGAATTCTATTTTGGCAATGGATTCCAGCTCAAATAAGTGTGGATGAACATCATAACTGCAAATAAGTGACCCCATCTGACTTCTTAAAATATCATTCTGCCTGCTCTGAGAAATCTCTGCTTGCAATAACGGTCTTTTTAATGTATCAGCATAAGCTCACAGATGCGCAGCTGAAGTCGGAAGGAATTTTTAAAAGCTGTAAATAGCAAAATATGAAGGCAGAGCATGTGAGCAAAATTTAACACAAATTTTTAATTGAAATGCTTCTATTACAGACAAACATGGTATTTCACCTGTCATGCTAATATTAAATCTTAGACAGAGGGCAGGAATGGAGAAAGGTACACATGCTTTAGAGACTCACATTTAAAACAACACCCAAACCCGCATCAATATGACTCTTCCCCTTTAAAGAAGCAACAGAGGCACTCACGTTTTGATTCCCATGCTAAGACACTATACTGTCTTAGCACAGCATCCATGTAAAGGCCCACAATGCTCATTTAAGATGTCAACAGTTAGCCTTACTGTTGCCTCTGAAGAGCATGTCTGCATAACCTTGATCCGGAGACTGTATGCTGGCCCCAACTGTCCTTTTGTACTCCCAAGTCTACCCCGAGAACATGCCACTGAACTGCTAAGTTTCAGAATAAAAGAAGTTATACAAAAAGAAAGCCCACATTTTAACAAATTTACCAATACAAAAAAAATAGGCAAGAGATGCTTGTCCTTCTTCCTCCTAGTGATATCTCTTCATCACTGCTCCCCATGATTTCTGGAGGCCAAAAAAAAAATCACTTGGCTAATTAATGTTGCCTCCTCCTTTTTTAAAGCCACCGTTTCCGAGTTCTTCTGTACAGTTGGTCATGAAAAAAGGACCTCCCAATGCATAACACTGCCTCTGGACAATGCAACAGGCAACCTAGTGATTTCAAGCAGCCTGTCTCTGGGTGGCAGCCAGTATGAACAGAAAAAAAAACAAGAGGTCCATCCAGCATTCAAAAGTATCCTTCATGTTTACAAGAGGTTATTTTTCCTGCCCCAAGCTATCCTTCCATTTTGCAACCATACTGGTTTGGCCATAGCATGCCTTGAGGAGACCAAATCAAAGAAACAATACCTGTTTTGAACCAGTCCTTGTTTCCTACCAGTTGCAATAAAACAGCATTCTAAAGCAGATCAGAGTATCCCGAGATTGCTTAAGGAAAAGAGCAATAATCTTGCATTATTATAATTAATTTTTGCTTTTGAATCTTCATTGGTTTATTTTCTGCTTGAATAGCATTGGAGGGAACCTACCCATAGGACAGGGAAGGCAGAAATCACTTCAAAAACTAGTTGCAGATCCCTTCCTTTAAGTATCCTTAGCTGTATTGATAGCCATTCATTATACTCTAGGCCAGTGGTTCTCAACCTTCCCAATGCCGTGACCCTTTAATACAGTTCCTCATTTTGTGGTGACCCCCAACCACAAAATTATTTTCGTTGCTACTATGTAACACTGGGAGCCACA